CCATGGCCGGTACACATTCTCACTGGCTTTCGACGTTGTACAGATAGCGCAGACCTAGGGCGTTTCCCCGTCTGGAGAAGATGGCAGCCGCTCTCTGACAATTTTAAACAAACAGTGGAGAACAATATTACAGCCATAAAAAATGGTAAGCAAAAAAAAAAAAAGAAAACAAAAAACACAAGTTTACTTTGATAGTGCATGTAGGTACAGTGACCTCCTGTCCTCTAACCCCAGAGTAGGCTAGTGGATAATGATCTGCCAATTCTCCTCGCCCAATCAGCACAGCCTCTCTTGAGGACCATGCATTTAAGTGAAAGATTGTGATGTTTTTCCCTGTACCACTGGCACAGCTTATCTATAATAAATTTGAACTTGCCTCCATATCTGGAGAATTACAGAAATTTCGAGCAGTTTCCCTGGAGACCCAGTGAGCGATCAACGTTCCATTTATGTTGTTTCCATGTTTCGATTCTAGTCCTACACACTTTTGACTACGTGTATCTCCACGATGTGGGCCTCTCTTGCCAGTATCTCTTCAGTTAAGCACTGGGGAAGAAGTGTAACATTCGAGACACGTCAATATGGAGGAAAAATACACTTAGGTCTTGAAACTTTTAGTATGGCTTGCAACTTTTTTGAAAAACCCCGTGTTTTTGCCTTAAATCTCATTTTTCAGAAGCGTACTGGAGGATGGAAAAATGCATCAATGTTTCAAGTAGTGGTGATTTGGTATTGCTCAAGAGAAGAGCGTGTGCATTCATATTTGTGTACTGTTTCGATGGATTTACAATATAACATTAAAACATATTACGTCAAGCCCAAGGTCTCCATCTCTACTCCACTTTCTGGTCTGTCTGTCCCCGCTGACCAGGTGAGGAAAGTCCTCACCCCACCTGGATCCCCTGCAGCTTGCCTACTAGGCGCACGTTGGTGTGAACAACGCTCCAGTCAACTCGCCGGACAGATCATACTCCCAGCTAGACAAATATGGCACCTATGGCACCATTGCCAGTATCGTGTTCAATGATTTCTCAAGTGCATTTAGTGCCACCCAGACACTCTGTCAGGATAAGACACCCAGGACACTGCAGCCTGAAGCCCCCACAGTCTCCAGGATCATGGATTACCTATCAAACAGACGGCAACACGGACCAACACTGGGGCACCTCAGGGAACCGTCCTGTTTCCCATCTTGCTTACCCTCTACACGCCTGACTTCCACTCCCACACCAGCTATTGCCATCTACAGAATTTCTCAGATGACTCCTACATTGTAGGATATAATGACAATGATGAGTCAGAATATAGAGGACTAGCAGAGGACTTTGGAAGTGTAAGTGGTGCAGGGCTGCAAGATCCTGGGGGTCCCTACCTGCAGGCTGGACTGAGTGATCATCACAGCAGTGCTGTACAAGAAAGGCCGAGGCAGACTCTACTTTCCGAGGAGGCTCAGGTCTTTGAATGTGTGTAGCAAGCTGTTGTGTATTATTTATCGGTTTACAGCGGCCAGTGTGTGTTTCTACGCTGTGGCCTGCTGAGGAAGTGCCATCTGTTCAGGAGGCAGTAGCAATGAAGAGGTTGTTGGCAAAATGGGACAATATTATGAATATGTCTGTCAGGATGGGTCACTGTCCTGTGTCTGTTCCCTGTTTGGCCAGCAGGTTGCTGGGCATCCTGTCCTAATGCGTCCCCCTCTCCCATGGCTGCAATGTGGCTAAGTTTGTGATGGGCTCAGAGCTGGCTAGAGATCAGTCTCACCTTGTTCAAATGTTCTTGTGTCCTGATTTTTGTTATGCTATCTTGTTAATTGTTTTCTTGCATCTCTGTTTGGACCCTTGTTTTGTACCTTAGTTACACTACCTGATTGTTGTATGTAGTCTTGTCGTATGTTCTGTTCCCACGTTCAAGTGTCTCCTCGTGTTTGTATGCTTAGTATTTGATTATTACGCTCTTCTGTTCTTTGTTGCCCCTAGTCTATTGTGTTTGTGGTTAATTAGTAATAGCCTGCATCTGTCCCTTGTTAAGCCCATGTTACCTATTGTATTTAAGTACCTTCCTTTGCTTTCATCTTCAGTTGGTCATTGTATTTGTCATTGAATTTGCTACATGGTTTGTTCCAGTCTTGCTCCCTTCTCTAGTTCATTAGTTTTTCTTGCCTGTGTTTAGACCCTTTGTGGTTCCTTTTGTTTCTTGTTTTTTGAGTTAAAAAGTCCCTCCGTTTGTTTGAGCTGCAACATGGATTGTCCCTTTGTCCTTCCGCCATGCCCGTCTGTAACTAATTCTGCCCCTCCACTGCAGGGGGCGCTATCCTGGAACACGTTTAGCAACCGGCTCATTCTAGCAATGTGTCACAGAGAAACACTATTGGGGGTCATCTGCTGGCATCAGACACCACAGTGTCTCCTCCTGACCTGCCAGTCCAGGAAGCATCTTGTACAATAAAAAAAGAAATTCTCAGGTGATCTTCTAAACAATGTTACGGCGAGACCTACATTGGACAGTGGGGTGGTGAGTTACTCCGTGGGTTAGGCCTCTCCGTTTGTGATTGGAAGGTTGCTGGTGTGAGACCTGGCCTCACCAGAATACTAAAATCTCCATTGGACCTTTGAGCAAAGCCCTTAACCCCCCAAGATGCCCCTGGGGAGCTGGATAAATGACCTGACCCTGCAGTCAGACCCCAAGCTTTGCTCTCAGTTATGTGTGTGTGTGTGTGTGTGTGTGTGTCTCAAAGGAGAGTAAAGACGGGATATGCGAGAAGAAGCATTCTAATGTACTTGTGTAAATAAAGTATCATTTAATTTCATTGGGGAATTGCAATTTATAAAGTAAAGTCTTTAAATGTCCACTAGAGTGCTGTCAAAATCCACATTAAACTGGAAAAAAAACATATTGCATAAGATGTGGCTTTCGTTCAGTGAACCATCGCAAATCAGGGAGGCCAGAGGACGAGTTATATTAAGATGTTTAGATATTTAACATGTTGTTTTTCAAAAATTTGAAGCATTAGCTTATAAATAAAAATTAATTTCTTATCTGTTGACTTACAAACGGTCCTGGTAGGCTTGCTTTGTGAATTGCAGCGTGTGCTTTACGGATTCTCTCTGGAAGGCTTAAGAATCCTGACTGCGTTTCCTCTCTGTCCGAACTCTCCAAAAAGCCTCCCGTAGAACCCTAACCCACCTATTCCCTGTGGTTCTGTCTTACTTCTGCTATGCGCGCCATCATACTTCTGACAAACCCGCCAAGTCGTGAGCTGAAAACCAGAGGCTGCCGTCACGTATACACCGACTCGGGAGAAAGCCCTCTAGTGAAGTCCCACAGCCGTCCATCTTCACATCACCACTTTGACTGAGAATCTTCTGGCTTACTGGTTAGTGGTTGGTCGTGCAAAATGCAGGTCACACCTCAAAGTTGGTATTCATGGGAAGCAAACCTTCCAGAGCCTTCTACACAGTTTCGTGGACTCCATTCTCCTACCTGGCATCTTTCTTAGCATGCTGACCTTCCCAAAGTCCCGTTGTTCACGTCTAATACATGCTTTGCCCTTCATTCAGTCTCCACCTTATCAAGCACATGATTGCCGCTCCTTCACAATAATTGCAGTTTATGAAATGCATTGTTCACCGTTCCCGAAGCAGATCATTCATATTAAGACATGTTTTCTATTTTTGCAGTACCGCTCATGGGTATATTTTGGGTAACCATTTCCCTGCTCAAACAGGGAATTTCCAGGCTTAATAGGTGTGTTTGAGCCTGCAAACTGTGTTGCAGCCTGGCCTTCCAGGACCAGAATTGAGGAACCATGCTTTAGACTAACAAGGATAACAAGGATCAACGCCAAGTATGGTTTCATCAGTATCCATTATCTGGGTGTTTCATCCAAATATTTCTTGGTGGTGAGTGACTCAGGGAGTTGGGGCCCTGTGATTGGATGGTTGCCAGTTCAAATCCCAAGGCTGGGCCCTTAAATACGGCCCTTAACACCAATTGCTCCAGGGACTGGCTGACCATACTCTCTGATCCATACTTGTACATCAGTTTAGATTAAATCTTCTGCTAAATATATAAATTTCAACCATGTGTCAATCTGCACTGTGTGGTATCCCGCAAAATTGACTCTAGCAATTGATCTGTTATGTCTGCAGATAATGTTTTCTGATATGTTTTTCAATGAAGTGGCATGACATTATAACAGTCTACTATTTCCTAGTAGAAGTAAGGATTTAGGTTCAACAGACGGAGCCCGTAGAATGAAGGAAAATGAAAGCAAGGGTGTTTTTACACCCCCTCGATGTTTGCACAGCTGAACGTCCTTATATGCGGAGGGCAATCAACTCCCGCTTTGCTCAGAGTTCAGAGCATCTTCTGAAGTTTTAATCTTTGCACTCACAAATTTAACTTAATTTGCACTTAAAACCCCATAAATCTACTTTGTGCTTTTCGGTCTTCGTAATCACACGAGGAAAATGTAAAACAACTACTTTGATCACTAGGGGTGAGACGATGCGAGACTTCATCTTTGGAAACTCGGCATGTCAGCAAGGAGGGTTTACAGTCAATGACATCCATCCATCTGTTCATCTTCAAACCGCTTATCTAGGGCAATGACATGTGTTTAAAAATTCATTTCAGGTCTTTATGGAGAAGTTGCTGTGCTCAGTAATCATAGAAGCATAGAAGCGCACAGCTGTGGGATCACTACCTGTTTCGTAACAATGGATAGTCATGGAGTCAATGGAGAATCTGACAGTCTGCAATAAACATGCGGGACTTGCAGGCCTTGACATTTGTTTGCCATCACTAATAAAACCATCACTCTAGTTGCCAGAAAAAGAGAATGAGTTCAAAAGACGGCATGCTAGTCTACAGTTCAAGGAAGTTACATATGACCTAATACATTAATATATCAGATAAACTCAATATCCTTTGACACTGAAAACTGAACCTCAATTTCAATTTAAAATGCAAACAAGACAGGGGACATTCAATAACAAGATGGATCCAATCAGTCCTTTAATGTTTTCATTTTTTTTTTCCAATTTTGTAAAGAACAAAATACAATGACAAGACTAGAATTGATAACATCTAAGAATACTGATCAATACATAAAGGCCACATTTCCAGAGCATCCCCCACCACACAAGCAGCCTCTTACAGGCAGATCACCAAATCGCAGTTACTCCGACCCCCCCCGTAGGCGTTTGTTAAGGTTATTAGTTGGTTTTAAAGTTGCTACAGCTTTGGGAGGTTTCAGAGTGCTGCGTGGCCCGGAATGCTTTGTAAATGAGGCCCCTAAGGAACAAACAGATATCAAGATTCCAAAGTATTTCAAAAATCCCACGGTATTTACATCACAGAGTAGAAATGCTTTACAGGCTCTGGAGCGAGATACACGTCTGCTTTTGTTTTTGGATTTCCGGTTCTTTCTCATGACCACTTGCTGGTTTAAACCCAGAAAGGCGCTTTGTCGGTGAGTTATTTTCATCTGTAACCAAGCATTTGATGAAAGAACAGATCTTAAAACATCAAGATATAAATAAATACACTCATATATAAGACATGAAATCATGGCATCAAACGTTCTGAAGTGTTTTACTCTCTAGACAAAGAACTCAACTGTCAGGGCTCTTTGGGGCAAATAAACAAGAGCAATAGGAACGAGAGATTGAGAGATCTTCCTTTTTCTGCTGCATCCACGGCACTGCTCACTCCCAGCACCAAGTCACGTTAGATAATCAGTTTAAAAACATTCATCAGGCGAAGGGGACTGATTCGGTCGCTTTCAGTTTGCAATCTCTCTACAATGGGGATGAGCTCGTATGTAAGATAAGGCAAATACGATCGCGAAAGGACATGCACGTGCACAAACACACACACACACACGCGCCCGCACGTACATACGCACACCGCGTGGGCGATATCGTACAACTGGAGGCACTGCGAGGAGAGTGGGAAATTTGACGTGAAAGGTCAAATGAGCCGGAAATGGAAGCTGAGAAAGTCGCTTTGGGGTGGGTGAGTGCGAGCAGACATTTCGGAGTACACGGGGGTGCAGTAGGGGCCATAGATACCCCGGCAGATACAGGGGCCCATGAATACATTACATTATGAATCTTATTGGCCGGCGAGAGGGCCCAAGGTGACGTTTTGTGGGGGGGGGTACTACACCCCTAGGTACAGGTCTATACAGTGAAATCTGCCTAGAAAAGCGCACATGTAGTGCATGTGTGACTGACTGCAGCTTTTCCCACCAAATGGATATCCTGTACGGATATACCTCCAAGCCCCGCCCCTCTAGTGCAGCAGACGAGAGCTGTGTTCACGTGTGCTCTGTCATTGGCCCTTAAATTCTGGGCTCGGCCCGTCTCACCGGAGACCCTACAGAGATCCTTAAACCCCCCCCCCCCGATACCATCACCTCTCTGGGGCTTTTCTTTTGGTCGTCTGAGTCACAGCTGGGACAGAAGGCCACTTCTAATGAGAGCGCGGTGGAGAGCGGATCAGAGCCTTTGCGTGGGGGGGGGGGGCTAGGCGCTTGGCTATGCCCAGTGTGAGGTTCAGTTTTGCTGCAGTTTTGATTATCCGCCATTCTGGGTCCGAATGGCTCTCCTGCCTCCTCCACACGCTGTGACCACTGAGGAGAGGGATGCCACACGGATCTCCGGCAGCAACAAGGCTGCACGGATGACGGAGACAGCACTGCCCCCGTTAACCTGCGGATTTGTGACAGCCACATGTCCCTCGGCAGCGACCCCCCCCCCCCACAAACACACACGCCAGCCGGGGGCTGTCGGGGATGCCGATCCATGCTGCAGCGGCAGGTGACACAGCTCAGCCTGCCGCTTACTTAGCCGTTAGCTCACATGGGAGCCGAGCTCATCGGGCTCTATCACATTTGTAACCCAAAAAAAAAACAAGGAGCTCTGCTGTAGTCATTGATGGATCTGTGGTTCTCGTGAAAAGTCTATATTAAACAGAGGGAATGGTGTCTCACCGGGTTCCTCTGACCGCTCGCCGCTTCCCTGTCCTATTTCCCCACACCTGTGTCGCCTCGACAGCAGGACAAAAGTTTCCTTCATCTTGTGCTTCCGAACATTAATCTTTTATTTTTACGATGGTGTGGGCAGGGATCAACCCCTATAGGGTCATAATAGGCCAACGGCTCTCGCCCGTCGCTGTCGGTAATTACGCTTGCCGCGATGCTGTGCCGTAAATCCAGTCTTACCACTGAAACACACGCCCGCCGACACATCTGAGACACTCACGGCCGATAAAGGAAGGGATGAAGACGGCGGTGAGCGTGGAAAGCAGACTCGTTAAGGAGCTGGCTCTCTCGCGGCTCGTAAACGGGCTGTGAATGGCAGCGCGGCGAGCGGGATGAAAAGCCAGGCCGCTAGGAAAGCCGCAGCTGGCTTTTGAAGTCTCGCCCCGGGGCTAAGAGCGGCTCCTATTTAGTGCTTCATCTTCCTAATCAGAGTCTGCAATCAGGCTGTCTCGTCTGAGGCCGCTTGTCTGCCTTTTGAGGCCGCAACCGGGGAGTCTGTGGTGGGAGGGGGGTTGTGGGGAGTGGGGGGCGCATAAGGGACATTGAGTCATTTTTAATAGGAACGATGCGTCTCAGAGTCATCTGCCAACAATCTGCCTATGAAGATCCGCGCCAAATTTGCACCTGAGAGATCAATCGCTCTCTGGTCTGGCTGCAAAGCCCCTGCAAGCCCCCCGATTCGCCTTCTGGCTAATTCTTTTCGGCGGCAGCGTTTCCGTGGTGATGACTGACAGGTGGAACCTAAGCCTGCCGGATGAATTGTATCCCCGCTGGAATCAATCACGCCGCGGCCATTGTGATGTCACAATATAAAGTCTGGGAAATACAAGTATCAGAAATGCAGGTAGAAACAGCCTCTTATTGCTCTGAGTGACAGATGCTGCGGAGATACAGCGTATAAATTATTGAACGGGCTGTATTAAGATTGACTGTGCAGACATTCAGCCCGGTTCCCCATTATTCCATGAGGTGCAGAGGCAGCAGAAAGACCCCGGATGGCTGGGAAAGGGGCTGAACCGGTAATTCCGGCTTGATATCAGGAAGGCAGGCTTCACGGAGAGGCCACGCAGAATCTGACCCTCTGCAAACCATCTGTGCTCTACTCGTCCGAAGCGGTGAACACCCACATGGCAGAACCCTTAATCGACATGGCCCTTCTGTAGACCCTCAGACCCTGGCCCCCACCACATCTCAGATACATGTGCCCATGTCCCCCCCCTCAACTGCCCTCTCTCTGCTCCACCCTCGATCCTTCTGCTCCACACTGCCTTCACCTTCCATGCGGTGAAAGGTCTCCCATGCGTGAGATCGCTTCATTCCCGTAGCCGGACCCAAGCGAATAGACCCGACACTGCTGCTGAAGATCTTAAACGACTGGATACTTTCACTAATCCACATTCTTACTGGTGTCTGAATATTACTCTTTGCGATGCAAAGATACGACAGCGAATTGAGAGAGATCTAGTACATACCACTACTCTTCTTGAAGAAAACAGGGAAGGTTTAAAAGAGATATGAGATACAAAAAAAAACACCCTTTGGGGTGAATCGCGATGAGACGTCCATCTTTAAAATAAGCAAAGCAAAAACCGTCGCTTTAAGGGCCACACCGATGTCCAGAAAGAAATAAAGTCAGTGCTAAAGGGCCACAAGCGTGCAAATGCACACCTGCCTCTGCTCCCTGGCCTGACACTCTGCACGTGTGAAGAAGGATCAGGGGCGGAAAGTTCAGCTCCCGGAAGTACAAATCCAGACCAAGGTTTCGTTTCAACCAACCAGCTGAGCATAAAGAGTCACATTCACAGGGTACTTAACGGGCTGGTTGGAACAAAATCTTGGTCTGGATTTATACTTTCTGGATCTGAATGCTCCACCTCTGAAAAGGATACAGTATTTACAACTAGTTGTTTACTAAATTCCATCCTCTACCGTAAAATGAATATTAAAGACGAACAGCGGCCTTAGAAAAAGGGAGGAACGATCTGGAATAATCGAGAGGATAAAGGGGACGGATTCTTTAAAGTCTGAGACGGAATGGGGGAGGGAAAATGAGGATGAGGGCGGAGGAAAGGCTTGCTATAGTCCCCTGCAGGCCTGGCGGTCGCCTCTCAAGCCTCCCGGTCGAGCTGAAGCGGCAGCCTGACCCCGAAGGGCGGGGCCGGGGGGGGAGGGCGAGAAGCTGAGGCTCAGGGCGCTTCCGCTTAATAGTGACCGCGGCCGTCCTCGTCGCCGTGGTGACCGCCGGCGCCGTGCTTCCTGTGCTTCCGCCGCTCGTGCCGGGACTTGTGGTGATGGCGCCGGTAGCGGTGGGATCGCCGAGCTGAAAAAGACGACGGATGAAGAAGGAGTTTACAAGACGAACAGCTGTTAGCGAGCATCCAGCCTCGGTCCCAGCTCGCCTTGATTGTACTTCTTTGTTTTGCTCTTTCTCACAATCCCCCAGTGGTAGTTCGAGTTGTTTTAAAGTCTTGTACCATGTTGATGAAGGTGGTTTTTACGTCTGGTGCTGCTCAATGAGGCAGCCTTGGTTTTCTGTGGCCCGTGTCGGGGGTAATGGGAGCCAATCGGAGGGGAACGGGCCCGGAAGCGTGAGACCGGGGTAGTGACTTTCCGTTCCCCGTTGTTGGGTTTGGGCTCAGCATATCAAGCTGCCACACTCCCTGACAGGGCCTGCTGATGGCGCTCTCTAGGCAGCAAACCAAGGTGCCGTGGTTGACTTAGCCCCTCGGCACCGTTCCTTGCTGGCTGAGGGCCTCCAGAACCCACGCAGCTCATGACAAGCTGTCAGAGATGGACCAGGAGGTGAGACCGAGACATCTGATTGGGTGGTCCGCCTTCACTAGTTGCGTGGACCCACTTCCTCTACAATCTGATTGGCTATCTCTCTGAACCAATCATTTTTTCGTTCTGCCCTCAGAACATGTTTGTACAAGTAAAACTCCCATGAGTGTTCAGAAAGTAAAAATCCAGACCACGATTTTGTTTCAACCAACCAGTTGAGTAGTCGGTAACTGTGACACTGTACACTCAACTGGCCAATTGAAGCAAACCCTTGGACGGGATTTTTACTTTCTGGACTTGAACTTTCTACCTCTGCAGGCTGTACCGCCAAACTGTGCCCTGCTGTGCTGGAGACGTCGGCTCTCAGCTTGCCGTCCATCGCAGCACCTGCGCAGTGAGACCCGTTCCGTCCCTGAGACATGTCCAGGTCCCTAATGCAATCCACAGGGCCGAGGAGTGGAGTCCCCACACTGTCAGAGTTTTACTGTCATCATTACTGGCACTTACTGTAACTCACCCTGATGGCCAGTAAGCCGCTCATGATTAGAGCGGCAATGATCTGAATTAAAGCACTGAAATAGTTTTCGCCACTAAGCACTTTGTCCTGAGAGTCGGCTTTATAAAACGGGCCTCCAAAGCACGTCCTGTTGGGGACCCACGTCACTTCACTGCTTTGTAACTGCTTCTCATCCAAGATCTCTGTATATACCAGCTGCAGCCATCGCAACTTTTTTCTGCACGTACTGCAGAAAAGTACAGTAAACTTACAGCTCCATTGTATGTAATTTGCAGAGGAAAAAGGACTACAGCGCTATTGTGGCTTCTGCGATAATGAAAACGGTGGTTCGCTGAGTAACAATGGGGTCCAACACCACCAGGATGGGAGGCTTGGATGCTGTAAATTGCTTTGATGCTGTGAAGTGCTTGGATGCTGTAAAGCGCTCTGAGACAATGTAATGTTGTGAAAATGTGCTACACAAAAATTAATTTGTTGTTGTTGTATCGTATCTGATGAACAGGTCTCCATATATCGTCCTTAGTGCATATGAGTGTGTTTCCTGCGACAGACTGGTGTCCCATCCAGGGTGCACACTGGGGTAGGTTACAGGCCTACTGTAACCCTTTAGTAGATGGTTATGGAAATCAGTTGCTAAGTACGTTCCCAGGAAGTGTCTGGAAGCTGGACTTGGGACCAGAAGGTTCCCCAGATGAGAGTGCTGTGAAGACCTTGTACTCTGTCTTCAGGGGTAAAACATCTGATGATAATTGCAAAAAAAAAAAACCAACAACATACTGTAACGGTCTAAATCACAGGCAGGTGGCGTAGTGGTTAAGAACAGGTATGGTGACAGTGAAGTCTTGTGGTTCTGATCCAGGAAGGGCACTGCGGTTTCATTCCTGAGAAAGGCACTTAACCTGAATATCTCCAGTGCTACATTCAGCCACGTAAGAGAGCACAGTGCCCCCCCCCCCTCCCCCGGGTGTCCACTCACGCTTTGTGCAGATGATCTTGGGCCGGTCCCACTTCCCATTGGCGCGGCACTTGGCCGTGGGCACGTGGCGCTGGAGGAAGCCGTCGGCGCACTGGTAACGCACCACCGAGTGGATGTCGTAGTGGGACCGCTTCCGGCCAATCAGGAATGCATTGTCCACAGTAGGGGGCGCTCCGCACAGCACTGGGGAAGGGAGAACAGGAGTCATGCCCCATTAATGGCTTCATGCGGCATGTCAGTGGGCTGTCTGCAGCCGTGCTCTGATGCGTGGGTGTGCCGGAATTAGATTACCTAGAATTAGATTACCGGTAACTTCGTTACTGCTGGCACTGATTAAAAAAATAAAGCTATTAATAGAAACTACCTTAGGACTAGTTTAGACCAGAACACAGAAAATGTTTCTCTGTGTAAGTGGTAAGGAGGATTTGGAAAAAGCCGTTTCACAATGTGCTGAAACTACGGTCTATATATACATTAAACCATTGAACAGTGAGAAGCCGTTTCTGATGTTAAGGTCTTATATACATCATAGCAGATCTGACCCGGTCAAATGGGCCTGGCAGAACTGGGCCGACAGCACACAGCATACACTGCCCACCTCCCCGATTCTCCAGATGACCCAAACAGCACCTCAGTCTTCGGGGGGACACACAAGTGCTCACGCTGTGCTCACGTTAATTCTCTATGCATGTGCACAAAGGATCAACCACAGGTGCTCATGGAAACTGCCAGCCGGATCCGACCCGACCCGGCCTGAGAATACACACCTCTCCATTCCATTCCAATGCTCAGACTTAACCAGTCCACAACTCCCAGTTAATTTTTAATCAGTACTATTTTTAGAAATGTCCTTCCTTTTAACTGCAGTATCAAAGTGTTGATTCACTGATTAAGTGCTGAAAGAGCTGTGATTTTAATATGCAGATTATTCATATGAATCGAAAAATGAAAACGATTGAGTAATTAAGTAATTAAGGTGGCGTGTTGGGGAGGGGGCTGTATGTAAGGTTTTACTCCAGTGACCCAGCAGGGAGGTGGGACTCCTGCCCCCTAGTTTAAAATCTCATCCGTAGTCCCAGTACATCACTAAATTTCCAGGTCCAGACAACCCCAAATTATATATAATTTACCACAATTAATAAATGGAGTGTAAGGGGCGTCAGGTCTTGTCTGCTGTTCCCATTCCTCACCCTAGAGGGCGCTCTTGGTAATGACAAATTAATGCTATATGAAAGGCTGAGTCCTGGGAGCCTTTGTGTGGCAAGGCTGTCCGTTCCGTGCTGGATAATCATGGATTCCGCAATAGCTGATTGGTCCCCAGGGCGGCGAGTTGCAAACCTTTAGCGGCCTCAGAGCAGAAACTCCGCCTCCTTTTCCAATCAGGGCAGGAGCCCAACGCCATTAATCCTGCAGTCACATTTCATGCCACATTTACAATCAAATTAATCGTAAATTTGACCTCCCCCCCCACAAAGATGTCGAATGGGAGGAATTTAGCAGAGGATTGATCTGGAGGAGGTGCCAAGCTTGTTGGAGGAGCTGACAGCTACTGGCTGCCACCCCTGCGGAGACCTTAAGGGCCTCTGTGGGGGGCAGCTACCTCACATGGAAGCGGCAGAGATGGAGACAGACGACCAACAGAGCAGCAAGTGTCACTGAGAACGACCGAGACGCCAATCAAGCGTGAGTCACCCCAGTGTTCACCTCAGTCTGTCTGATATTTTTATAAATCCTTCAAGATTCCCGAATCAGGCATATAATATGGAGTTTCACCTCAAAGGCTTATAGACTGTATAGAGCATTTTCTGTACTGTACTGTAACAGCTCCTGACTGCTAGTCTGGCAGAAGCTCCGCGTGTCTATACTCAGCTCTCCAGACGAGCAAGTCAGAGGATTAATTTGATCTTAGTTACGTTTTCCAGGACTCCCTAGTTGATTACAGCACCTGAAAGTGATTTCTTTTAAATCATTTACGTTCACATATTTAGCAGAATCAGTGTGATTCCTTAAGTTGTACATCTTTGGTTCAAGTGGATCAAAACTTCATGTTTCTCGCTTTTTTTAAGCGCACAGGAACACCAAAGCGGCCGTCGTGAACCGTCGCCGTGCAGAGGGATCAGCGATCAGTCTCCCGACGACTCAGGCTGGTGTCCAAGCGACCAGGCTTGCTGTTTCTGAACACAGTGTTGGAAGGCCAGACGATTAAGCCCGGCTGGCAGGCCGAGCGACGCACTGGACGCAGAAAGGTTTGGAAGTCAGCCCGGCCTGCTGACCGCCCAATCAAGACTCCGGCCCATACCGCTCAGGGTGCAGAGATTGGCTGGAGCCAGGGCAGAAGGCAGAGCTGGAAGTGTTGGGGGCGGAGTCAAGACAACAGGGGGTGTGATCAGGAAGACGGGGAGAGGGGCCGGGAGCATGGGGGGGCGGGTGTAACGGTAACAGGGGGTGTGATCAGGAAGACGGGGAGAGGGGCCGGGAGCATGGGGGGGCGGGTGTAACGGTAGCAGGTGGCGACGGCTTGGGTTCTCAGACAGATGTTCCTGGGGAGGACTTAACAGCAGCGTATAGTGTACAGCGGGGGGCTGGGGGGGGCACTTCCTCTGAAAGCTGCCCCGTGGGAGTCAGGCTCCAGCAAGGGGAGACCCTCCCTGACAGACAGATGTTCCTATCGAGGAGAAAGTTCTCCTCACCAACAAGTCCTGCGCCAAGGCCCAAGCTGATGAAGGAGCCCCCCCCCCCGCAGTGGCACTACAGAGTCGTTCTCCCCATGTGAGGGTCATCCTTGGCAGAGATGCTTACGTCTGACCTTCCAGTAAATAAGCAGTGGAACACAGAACTTAAACGTCTCCAGACACCTTGGATGCAGACAGCTTTCTGAGCCACTGAAGGTTATGACGCAAATGAAAACTGCTAACTGAACGGAAGGTGGATGTTTTGCCGATTCTTTTACGGCCATAGGAGCGAAAGGGGCTTCCTGTGAGAATCCTTACCACCTAGGCTTACAGAAGGAGGCTCACAGACACGGCTCCAAAAGGCTGGGCCCAAGAGGGTTCTCATTCTCTAACGCTGTGCTACTCTCTACTGCCCCCCCAGAGGCAAGCTGCGTTTCATGCTCCGGAAATAAAAGCACTTATCAGAAAGGAAATGGCACCTCCAACTCGTTTTGAGGTCCGATCTGTTTATGCCGCTTCTCGGCTCTCTACCTCTGGCAGACGTGACCCGGGGCAGGTGCTGTGGAGATGTGTAACACAGC